AAAAATAATAAAAATTTTATGTATATTAAATTTTTAACATTTCAAGTCCTATAAAGAATAATCCAAGTTTCTAATAATAAAGAAAATGGCTTATGACAGTAGTGATGCTATACAAAAATAAAATATACACTGAAGAGGGGGGAGGGAGCTAGTAATGACAAACATATGCAGAATGCATAGTAATACCACATATGCATGTAACCAATTAAGTCCACTAGTGAATATATAAAGCAAGAAATATCTATGAAAATTTATAAAGTTGTTTCCTCCCTCCAAATGCCATATTTTTAAAATGTGTGCTATTTTTAACATTGTCTAAAAGTTGAAGCTCGTGAGATAAGTCATAGCATTTTAGAATCATAAGCAAAATATGGATTTTCATATATGACTATTAAAAAGTATTCTGTGACTACAAGAAGTTTGGCAACACTTTAAGCATGTGGCCATAAAAGGGATCTGGATGAACATGACCAACATTAACTATGGGAAGAAAAAAAAAAAAAATTACAATAGGGATCCAACAATGCTTCAAGTAACACTGAAAAATTCAGTGGAAGGGCTTAATAAACATCATCATGAGGATTATAGAATGTTTTATCCATTATAAGAGCTTTAGGAGCCACTGCTCACAGACAGCACTTCTTATGAATGCTTGACACAAAAGCTATGCAACTCACCTGAGCTCAGCAATTTGCACACTGGATACCTGATGACTGCAAACATTTGACCAGCTAATATTTCCAACTATTTTGAGTAGAACAAAGGACTTGTTCTTGGTAAAAACCTCATGATTCAATGTATCCTACAATGTATACAATGTCAACAGAAGACTGTACAGGCTGTGTTTGTTCCATAATAATAGAGTTTAATAAGGATCCCTACAATATTTATATATGTTTCTTATAAATAAGGCACTATTGCACATCCTTTCTAATGAGTTACACCCATTCATGGCCAGCATTCATTACCATGGGATTGAACTCTTTTAACTGGATACAGAAACATTTGGAGTCTTGCAATGGCCACCTAAATCATTGTATTAAATTTATCAACAACATTTGGGATGCTATGCAATGCATTGTTAATACAGAAATCCTACATCTCAGAACACAACAAAATTATCGACTGCTTTGCAGAAAATATGATAGTTGAAAAGCTAAAACTATCAGAATATTATTGAGCAAAATAGTTACGAACAGCACTCCTTATGAATGCTTGACACAAAACTATCCAACTCATCTGAGCTCAGCAATTTGCACACTGAATACCTTATGACTACAAACATTTGACCAGCTAATATTTCCAACTATTTTGGGCAGAACAAAAGATTTGTTCTTGGTGAAAACCTCATGATTCTGTGTGTCCTACATGTCAAAAGAAAATTGTACAGGCTGTGATTGTTCCATAATGGTATGAAGTTAAATAAGGAGTTAAGATTAATAAGGATCCTCACAATATTTATATATGTTTCTGACAAATAAGACACTATTGTACATCCTTTCTAATGAGTTACACCCATTCATGGCCAGCATTTATTACTATAGGATACTCTTCTAACTGGATACAGAAACATCTGGAATCTTGCAATGGCCACCTAAATCACTGTATTAAATTAATCAGCAACATTTGGGGTAGTATGCAATGCACTGTCAATACAGAAATCCTACATCTCAGAACACAACAAAATTAATGACTGCTTTGCAGAAAATATGATGGTCACTGTTTACAGAACATTCCTGAAAAGCCAAAACTTTCAGAATATTATTGAGCAAAATAGTATAATTACACAACAACAACAAGGACGAACAGTATAGGACACCTGAAAATTACTGAAATACTGTTGGACAGAATATTTTAATTGCATTTTACAAAATACAGATTCTTTACCTCATCATAAAATAAACTAAAAATATTTCTAGCATTTTCACAAAACAAACAAAAAACCTGTTAATATTATTGAGCAAATAATAATCAGAAAATCTGTCAATTTTATCAATTTAAAAAATATGTTAATAGAGCTTTTACAATTTTTTTATCTTTAAGTTATGCTATGCTACCATAGTATTTACCACCTATGTGAACTAGTTTGCCTAGTAAGCATTGCCTTGCCCATGGAATGACATCTTTAAATCCTCTTTCACATATCATGGCAAACAATTTCCAGAGTGTTATCATTTAATATAACATAAGATCTTTAACATATCTGAAATTCTCAGCTTAAGAAACTAAGCAATTTAAAAACAATAAATGTACTCGTTAATAACAATAATAATTTAGTAATACATTTAACTGAATGTATATTAAAATACTTTTAATTTACATACATAATGGTTAGCTTCTGAATTCTACAAAGTACTCTTCACACCCAGAACTACCATTCATAGAACTATTATTATTTTTTAACAAAAACATTTAAAGCTTGCCTATTGCACCCATTTAAACTTTCTGAGTTTCTACCCTAAACATCAATATAACTTATTTTCAGTTAATTAATTTTAAAAAAATGAGTAACTCCACATTTTTCTCCCTTATTTATTACATCCTTTTTTCTGGTCAAATAATTCCAATTAAAATTATATTCTGGATTTAATGCCTTTTTCTGAAGAACCTAGTCATATATATATACATGAACTACTAAACTAGATTTTTAAGCACATTCTACACTACTAAATTAGAATTCTTTTATCTTGCCTTGCTCAAAAAATATATAAATTAATAAAAGATAGTTATTTAGGTTTTTGGCCAAGTGATTGCAGGCTATCTACTGAATTATAATTTTTTTCCAACTTAAAAAAGTAATATATATATATATATATAAATTAATCAAAGATAGTTATTTAGGTTGTGGCAAAGCACTTGCAGGCTATCTATCTAAAAGGAGGGATGCCTTCACAGAGGATAAAGTTGGCTTGTATTCACATTACACAAGGGGAAAGCTATGAAAATACCACATAGCTATCCCATTTGCCAAGATATGAACTCAGATCAAATGCCACTGTTCAGCACAATTGCTGGTAGGCTTAATGAATAATTAAATGAGCAGGAATGATAAAATGAACAAGCAAAAACAGGTTTTTAATTACACATAATTTATGAATAATAATTATCATTATGTTAACCAAAATCATATCATAACAATATAAAAATATCCCAGTTACTGAATTGGCTTAATCCATTCAGCTACTTCTTTGCTGATCTACCATGATATTACCGAGAATCCACTTGAAAAAAATATCGATTCATTAAGTTTCAATTTTTCATCTAAGAATCGAATATACATATTTTCTCATTAAATCTCCATTTTTTATCTACAAATTGAATACATTTTTCGTACTAATTTTATAATCTGAAGGTAAACAGGTTTTCTATGCAAGTTCCATAATTTATCTCTCTCACTGTGTACACTTTCATTCTTCTAATTAGCATGAATAAAATTTGCACTGTTTTATTTGTTACTGTTTGCATTGTTAAAATTTGTTTATAGTTTATTTTATTCATTGCACAAAATGTATCATTTCACATTTTACAAGTAACCCCCGAAGACTATGGTACTTGATAAACAAGGATACCTTTCCCGGAATTACACAGTTTCAAACTACACGATTTTCGAGTAATTCTAGCTGTGCAAACATCAACCCCTTTTCTACGAGGTCGCTTTCTCCGTTTAATAGAGAAGAAGGATTTCTCCTCTAACAGTAAAAAGTTTCGGGTGCATTTCAAGTCCATTTTAAAAGTCTCCATTTTTGAAAACTATTGAATGACCTTTGAGGGTGAAATCTGATAAGAAATATCTATGTGACCTTGTTTTGAACTCATTTGAGCACAAAGTGTGGGAGATTCTGAATTTTGAATTTTTGATTTCAGCAAAATTTTTTATAAGTGTCTAATCAATTAATTTCTAGTTTTTTTTTTTTTTTTTTTTTTTTTTTTTTTTTTGAATCCTTAATGTATAAAATGTATGCAGAAAATCAAAAGACAGTTAAAAAAAAAAGGTGTACAATTTCACTTGAAACTAAAGTAAAAAATTTGGACCAACTAAAGAAAGGAGAAAAATTATAAGTTGCTGCAAAGCCAGAGAACTTTTTGAGGTTACTATTCATGCAATAAAAAAGTGAAGAAAAAATAAGAGAGTATGCATCAATAGTACCTTAGGTGTTAAACAAAGTTTTGCTCAACAGATGTAAATATTATGAATACTGAGAAAGTACTTTCAATATGGACTGATGACTGTGAAAATAAAAGAGTGCCTTTGAGCAGGAACATTATCAAACAAAAAGCACTTAAGATGTATAAGCCCTTACAAGTGAATGTCATGCAGCGGACCAAATTTTTAACGCAGATGAGACTGGTTTAAACTGGAAAAAACTGCCATCTCATACATATATATATATATATATATGTGTGTGTGTGAAAAAAAAACTCTATGCCTGTATTTAAAATGTTTAAGGAAAGGATCACTCTTCTCTTATGCAAAAATGCATCAAGAGATTGCTGTATGAAATCAAACAAATCAATGAATCCTCACTCATTGAAAAACTTAGATAAAAAGCAGCTACCGGTTTATTGGCAAGCCAACATTAGAGCTTGGATGACTTCATCTATATTTGCAGACTGGTTTTGTAACTGTTTTGTGCCTCATGTAGAAAGATATTTTTTTAAAAAAACTTTTAGTTTCAAAGTATTACTACCACTAGACAATGGCCCCTGAACATCCAAAGGAGTCATATTACATATGAATGTCTTTTCAGTCTATTTTGGATAATTTAGAAGCTGCAGGAAATAAGACAATTACCCAAGTTTGCAAAGAATTTTCATCTTAGATTTCATTAATATATTACTATATCGTCATCTATAAGCGAACTTAAAGCTTCGATGCTGAATGCAAGATGGAAAGCTCTTTTACCAGATGTGATTTATGGAGACTCCAATATTACATGTAAATACATTAAATACGATCAGATAATGTTGCACATTCACTACATGGTACAGAGATTGATGATATGTCTGCTGAAGACGTTGAGGAACTAGTTTTAGAAAAAACAATGGATGAAGATAATCTTATAAGGCTTCTAGAAGGATCTAGAAAAATGGAAGAAGATAATCTTGTAAGGCTTTCAGAAGAATCCAGTTTTCAGTGAACTAAAGAGGATACAGAAAATTATGAAAGGTATCTAACCAAAATTTTTCTGTTGATGATGTCCAATATGCATTACATTTGGCAAACAAACTGGATATGTTTTTAACAAAAGCAATCTTTGCAAGGTATGGAAAACAACACTTGGAGCACAACTCAAGATCTGTATTAAAGCCGTATAAAAATTATTTACAGAAATTACAACACACGAATGAACTATCATGTAGTACTGCTAGATAGGCAGATGAAGATGACCAAAGCGACATAAATATTTGGCCTCCTAGGAAAAAATATACTAGAATCACAACATTCCTAGATGATTCCAGAGATGAGGATTAGATGGCATGGTAATGTAATTTTAATTCAAAAAGTGAATTATTGCAATTATTTCATTTTCCTTTTAGTTTGATAATAAAAAAATTTAGATAAAATGTTTTTTTCAAAACTAATTAAAAATTAATTTGAATTTTGAAATACAAGATGTCTTAGAAGTATTTACCAATAGGAATTAAAAAAATTATTTTTAGTTTTACATTTAACCAAAAAAAAAATTTTTTTTTTCACACTTGAAACAGAATTCCATTTTTTGTAGGCTCAAACAACATGGTTTCAAAGAACACAGGACCAATTTATCAAGTTCTTCAGGGGTTACCTGTATTTATGATAGGACAGCAATGAAAATAAGGTGAATAATATTTGTATTAGTGAGCCAATATAAAACAGAAATCTCTAGTTTCAAAACTGTATTATAAAATGCGTAATAATTCAGTATACACATTTTACAAACTGATTTCATATTTTTAATGCAGTTTTATATTTCAGTTCTGAAAAAAAATCTTACTAATTTTCATACTTATAATACTATCACTTTTAAAATGAAATGAGAATACTTCAGAAGATGCTCAGAATTTCAACATATATTATATTTCTAAAATCTGGAAAAAAAAATTGTGAAACCATTTTTAAAAAGAAATTTTATTAATTCCAAGAAACTTTATTTACAATTTCTATAGTTACACTTTTTAAATGACATTTTATGCATTTTTACACATGCATCTTGAATGAGAAGCTAACCATTTGATATTTCTATAATTTTTCTGTTTAAGAAATACAGTATGTCTGATATGAACTAAAATGACATACATATTTAAATTATATGTAATAAAAGCATTCTGGGAAATTATAAAGACATACATACAATAATTTACAAATGAAAATGCTTCATTTGCCAAAATCAAATGTCATGGAGCATAAAATACCTCAATGTATAAATGAAACATCAAAACTACGTTATTAAATGATGATAAACTTTGATTAATGATGATTAAATGACGGTAAATAACTTTTCATATTTTGGATATTTACTTACAATATATAATGCTTTTTTGTGACAACCATACATGAATGTAACATAACGAAAAATCTCTAAGACCAACCTGATCCAAAAGGTAAAAGTTTACAAAAAAACATAAATAAGCTAGTTAAAAACCATATCATACTTATATATAAAGTGCTAAGCATTGTCTCCTGACATACTTTTTAACATTGCTGTTATTAAATGCTAACTTATTAATCCTTAATTTTTTATTATTAATAGCCTCATAAGAAAAATTAGGTACTTAAAGTACTTTCTTAATGCTAATTTTTAACAACAACAACAACAAAAAAGAAATGTCACTTATTAGTGTGATTTAGTAGTAGTAATGGACAAGCATGCCATTACAATATGCTTCAAGATCATTGCTTTGGTTTAATGTTAACCTTATAAATTACTGATAAGTAAACTTAATTTTGGGGGAGGGGGGGGAAATGGATATAATTTTTCTATTTTTCATCATATTTTGAGGGGAAAAAATAAGTTTGGGACCTACCTTCTGCAGAAAGATCCTAACTTCAAAATGACGTATGCTTTAATGAGCATAATATGAAATTTTATTTGAAAATGGATAAACAATGGCAATACAACAGGAAAAACTATGACAAGAGACAGAAAATTAAGGGAAAATTTATCAAAGAAAAGAGTATGGTTCGAGGGCTTCTAAAATTATATGCTATAACTTGCTCCTGTTGATTATTTAACTAAACATGGCATGATCTGTTCTGTTGAACTTGCACTGGAACGACTGGCAGAAATTTAACAAGATGGTTGTAAATTTTCATAGCAACAAAGAGAAAGTAAGCAGTGAAAATTTATTTTCCTAAAAAGGATTGCTATAATATTTGTTCTTTCTCTAACAGCACTCCACTCTGTAACTCAATATATTTTTTGCTTTAGAAGATTTAATGGTCACACAGTAACTATAATATGTAACAAGACTTAAAAATAGCAGCATTATTATATTTTAAATTTATTGTCTCTCAAGTATTACATTTTTCTAAAACTCCAACACAAGACAACTCAAGTAATTTGCCAATTAACACTAATATTGAAAGACAAACCGCAAGTAAGAGGAAAGTTACTCTCCAAAATGTAATAACCTACCATTCTAAGAGCTTTCTCATGAGAAAAAAAGCTGAAAGGTTGAATGATAAATATCAAAACATAAAACTAAATCTATTCTACAACTTAATGCAAATTTTCTCATAAGAGATTTTATTATTAATTTATGAAAACTAATTAAATCAAGAAATTTACTACAATAATTAAAATTTAACTTATTGTCAACTGTCTAAATTAATAAATGTAAATCATTGTTGTTTTCACTAATCTCAAATAAACAATTTAAAGAACATGGGACGCATCTTACATGATATAATATTAGACTTGCGAGTAAATTTTAAAATCACTACAAATAATGATATCATAAATTACAAGATGTATGCAAAGGACATAAATCAATATTCATTTTGTAAGGAAAAAAAACAAATGGCAATTAAAAGGTCAAATAAAATGATGACTAGAAAAAAAAAAAGTAATAACACCATGATAAAGAAATTTACTCTTATATACAACTACAAATGAAAGACCCTGATAGCCTAATTTTTTTTTGTCTGAAATGAAAGAAACTGACCCCCCCAATTTGATGCTAAATATACACCATGAAGTGCAAAAAATACAATTTGCTGAAAAATTTTCTTATTAATTATATATTTAAATTTTGAGAAAGAAATCAATCGTAATAAATTATTTTGAACCTCTCAGTTAAGTGAAAAAAAGAACATACTAATATGGTAATTTCCGTGATATAGTACAATCGTATATGTATATACCTGGGGTGGCCATCCTGTAGCTCGTGAACCACATGTGGCTCTTTAAAGGATTATCTGTGGTTCTCGCTAAATGTACCTGAGTTCCCATTTCATTTTTGTGTTATTATAGTTTAAAAAATTATCGTTCCATATGTGTTTCAAAATGCCTTTTAAATTACTGACAAGAAATATGAAAGACTAAGTGCAACGTTGTAACAAATTTCTTTTCTGTCCAAGTTAAGAATGGTATGACTCATCGAAAACTGCACGAACGAACATAAACAGTGACGTAACAGTTCCTGTTCATCGGATTTTCTATGGGAGCAAGGCCTTGTTCGGCCAATTGCTTCTCGACGAATGACGATCTACATAATCAACCCACTCCAGACCGATTTTGAATTTTTAAACTTCCATTGCAGCAAAAAGTTGACATTGTGCTTTGGAGAAAACAGTTTGTATCACTCTTATTATGGATATAATTTGTAATCTGGAATTTTTGGTAAGTTAACTATAATTTGTTTTGTAGTATGTTACACATGTTGTTATTGTCTTAATAACACAAAATTTGTATTTTCTAAATTTCTTCATTTATTTCCAGTTCTTTTAAAAATATATCGACAGAGAACAAAAATAAAGAAATTATGAGCAAGAAAATAAAAGTTTTAATAATGAGTCGGAGGAGAATTTCTTTTTTATTGATAATAATGGAAAAGCATTATGTGTTATTTATAATTCTACGGTCAAATATTATAAAGCTAGCAATTTACGTCAACATTATGAAACCAATCATCCTCAGTTTTCTAATAAGTATACACCAAATTCCAAGTTAGGATCAGATAAACTTGCTTCTTTAAAATGAAATTTAAATAAACAACAGTCAATTTTGATGACTTTTAGAAATCAAGCTAATAATGTGGCTGAAGAGTTTTGTTACTGCTAATATTGCTCGAGCAAAACGCCTGTATGGAGAGGGAGAGTTTATTAAAAAAACTTGGAAGATGTACTTAAAATTTTAGATCCAAATAATGCAGCATTGCACAAAGTTGTTTTTTTTTGCAGATTCCCATCTCGAGACACACAACCAAACGACGCATAACTGCAATTAATACATCTCTTGAATATAATTTAAAAAACGATTTGAAGGACTGTATTGCATTCAGCTTAGCCCTTGGTGAGTTGACAGATATCACAGATATTCTGCAATTGGCAGTTTTCATACGTTTTGTTTCACCTGACCCCGTTGTTACAGAAGAATTACTAGATTTAGTAGAATTTGAAGAGTCAACCCACGGTTTCAATATTAAAAATGCATTAGATTCCATAATGAAAACTTTTGATGTGCCTCTTAATAAACTTGTATGCACTGCAACTAATGGAGCCGCGGCAATGCTGGGTTAAAAAAAATCAGTCTTATTGGGCTTTCAAGAGATGATTCTCAAATTCCGCAATTCATACCGATTCACTGCCTAATTCACCAAGAGCATCTCATTACAAAATATTTAAAATATCCTGATGTTATGAAAACAATGTTACACATTGTAAATTACATTCGCACAAATGGAAAAAATCATTAACAATTCAAAAATTTCTTTGAAGGATTAAAGGACGAAGAACTTCCAAATGACAATAATTTCTTTTCCATTGTAAGATTGTTATCTGGCTACAACGTATTAAATCGATTCGTAGATTTGTTTGATCCGATAACTCAATTTCTAAAAGAAAAGGAAATAACTTATTCAGAATTAGACGATGACGAGTGGTTACAAGAATTAATGTTTTTGACTGATGTCATGGAACATTTGCAAACACTGAATTTACAATTGCAGGAAAAAGAAAATAATATCTGACCTTGTTAAGTCCTTTTGAAACCAGATGGTGCTGCCATTGCTACTGTTTACAAAAAGAAGGTTTATTACTTGGAGAGTTTGCTTCAATGGCGAAGCAGAAAGTGATTGTAGAAGCCTGAGCGTCTTTCACAAATTTAGTAAAATAAAATAACGATATATTACAGATTAGTTGTTAATTAGTTTAATTAAGAGTTACAGTCCATTTAGAATTTAGCCGAACCATTCTGAGTGGTCCATCGAGCTGGAGCGATATCGGCTAAGTAAATAATCTAGTGTAAAACTGTGATTTTGCTATTTTGTTTCTATGGAATTTGTGTTTGTGGATTATAGCCAGTTGCTGAAAGAAAGGGGTAAGTAAAAAACCCTTGAAACTCTATTCATTATTAACTGTTGCATTTAGTAAATTCTGAATTAAGTTTTGTGTGGTAGCGAAAATGGCTATGAAATTGAAAGATGTTCTCACTAAAAAGAGAACTCAGAAAACTATCTTATCGAAGTTGCAAAAGAAACTTTGTGAGCCAGATTTAAGTGTTAGTGAGTTGGAATTGTTAAAAACTAAATTTAACAATCTGCAAAATGAATTTGATAATATTTTTTATTCCATTATCAATTTAAGTGGTGAAGAAAATACCGAAAAAATCTTCAGTGAGCAAGATGAAATCAACAGTAATATTATTGAAATAGAATTTGAAATAAATAATAGATTGTCAAAAGTTTTTAGTGAGAATAAAGTGGAAAATACAGTAATTTCGGAAAATACTGTTGTGCGTTTACCTAAGATTTCGTTACCAACATTTTCATGAGAAATGCATTCTTGGCTTTCCTTTAAGGATATTTTTAAAGCGAGTATTGATCAGAACCCAAATTTATCAGATGCTGTAAAATTGCAATATTTGAAATCAGCACTTAAAGGAGATAGCTTTAGAATTATCCAAACGATAGCTATAACGGATAATAATTATACGTTAGCATAGTCTCTCCTTGAAGAAAGATACTCAAACCCTAGAGAACAAATGTATGCTCATCTTAAAAGATTTATGAATATTCCCGTTATTCAAAACGAGTCAGCTTTTGCTATTCTAAATTTAATTGACGTTACAATTGAAGTTATAAGATCATTAGAATGTTTAGAACAAAAGTTAGATGGGGTTTCATTTGCTACATTTACTTACCTTTATTCTTAGTCAGAAACTTGATCAGAATACTAAGTTATCGTCGGAAAGGAATTTAAAGAAAGAAAAAATACTGAACATAATAAAGTTATTATAATTTCTAAAGGATCATGCGAGGACATTAAACACTTGAATACTGTAACTACAGTCAAAAGTCTTTAATCCGAACCTCAAAGCTACAAACTTTCTGCGCATGCGTGTAATACCTTTACATATGCGTTTATGCATGCGCGTTTAATGTATAACGGGCAGTATAAGCTAAGCTCTAATTATCTATTTCAGTTAATGTTGCAGATTGCATTGTTCCTTAATTTTCTAATTGGATCTGGCTTATTATTTTTTGCAGACTGTTAGAGCAATTTTATAAAAGTAAGCTTGAACTTTCGATCACGTCAAAAAGAATTTCCGATTCTGGAGCTGCCAAAGGATCTACAAAGCAAAAGCACGTTTCGGTGTCCATCAAACAAAAAGTGGAATTGCTGCAAAAAAAATGGATAAAGTCATATCCTTTGTTTCTCTAACCATTCCAAAATGTTTGTCAATTTCACGCTGCTCTGCGGGAGGGGGGGGGGAATGTCGCTGCGCACAATAAACTGGATGTTGATCTGTCAGCACTATCTTTATCTTCAGGGCAGATGTTTTTATTTTATTTGGCTTATAATTCCTTACTAAATGTAGTATTTCATCTCGATGTACTCGGTCTTTGATATGATTTAAATCTTCCTCATCATTATAAATATTACGAATACACATCAAATAGTCGTCTGGTTGCAATTTTGCAATTTTCTAATTTCGACTATGCGTAATGTATGCTTTATGCATGCGACCATTGAAAGAAATGTTAAATAAAGTAAACAAATAAGTATAATGTTTTTTTTTTTTTTTTTTTTTTTTGTAAATTTTGATACCCTTTAGATCATAATTGCTCTTTATTTTATAAATTATGGTTTCATATTTTTAATTTTATAATTTCTGCATGCCATTTTACCAGATTTAGACTGATGATCTATAATCCAGAAAAACCGATAATCCGGAATTGCTGAAGTCGCGACGAGTCTGGATTAAAGACTTTTGACTGTATTTAGTTTTCAAACTAAATTACAGCTTTTTCAAAAAACATTAAAAATAAAACATTTGTCATTTTCCTTGAACTAAAAAAATTTGTTCCAATATTACACAAGAAAAACTCAACAAGTATATAAAAAAGCTAAAAGGAATAATGACGGAATTCCAAAATAGATTTAAAGACTTAAAATATTTTAAATCGTCTCTTGATTTTTTTCTAAATCCATTTGAAATTAACATAGTTCAAGGTGAATTTTCCATTTCTAATAATTATGACCCAAAAAGCATATGGAAAATTAGAATTAATAGAGATGCAAGAATATCAAGCTCTACAATTAAAATATAAGTCGACGCTGATTACTGAATTTTGGAAATTTGTACCAGAATCGAAGTATTCTGAATTAAAAAAGGCTGCTTGTCGAATTATTTCAATACTCGGAACAACATACTTATGTGAATCATTTTATTTCACTTTAAAATTCGTGAAATCCAAACACCGAAACAACCAGCATCTCAAAGAATTACTGAGAAATGCTGTCACCAATTATTTACTAAATTTTCACATTTTGTACTTCTATTTATATGTTTTCAATAAATATAATTTCTATAAAAAAATAAATACCTTTTTTACGTACCTTTTAAATACATATTTAATTGCGGCTTGCGGAAAATATCAAATTTTGAAATATGGCTCGGACTACCAAGGAGCTTGGCCACCCCTGGTATATACAGTACAAAGTCCAAGATCCGGACTTCCGCGATTCCGGATTTTTCAAAATATTAGATCATCTATTTAAATCTAGTAAGATGACATGTAGAAATTAAACAATTAAAAATATGAAATTGCTAGTTATCAAATAATGATGCATTTATGATTAAAATCATAAATGTTTTAAAATTACAAAAAAGGTTGTATAACTTTCTTAAACATTTCTTTCAATGTAAGTTGTTAAAGTTGCTTCATTTTTTGTGCTACTCTTTAATTTTCTGGACAGACATAATTTTTTTGTTTAGTTACATTGTTGAAGTCCTGTAATTGCTGTGTCGAGAATTCCGATTAACTTGTCAATCAAAATTTTTTCAGTAAATTCTCTCCCTTTCTTCACTATCAGTAGTGGTATTTTCTTGATCTAGAACCATACTACAGACTTTCCATCATAATTGATGAGGATGAGGAGCTTGTAATCACAACGAAAAATCTTCTTCTATATCATCATCATATACCGCTTCTCCACATTTCTTTACAAAATCCTTTAATTGGAAAATTTCATCTTGGGTTTGCAATATCCAAAAACTTAATTCGTGGCTGTCATCATAAAATTTAGGTATCGTCACTATACATATTTGGCTATGTATCATGAGATTGGCGACTAAAGACAAGTTGTTCCACTAAACTTTATCTTTTATCGTGCTCTGAGAGACAATTAAGCCTGAATTGTTATTAGTTTAGTTATTTATTATACTTATGTCTATTTCTTGTGCGTGCTTAACCCCTTCAAGCCGGGTAGCGAAAACGCGCACTTATCACGGAGGCCGGCAGTGTCTTACGCGAGTGTCTCACCAGGGCCGGGGGCTTTTTTGCTACTAAGCCTAAATCCATGAAATTTCCGAAGCATAAACGCATTGTTTAATAATGCTCTATAAAGTATTTAAACGGCTTATGCTTTATAGATATTTATATATATATATACTTTAATTACCTTATTTCTTGTTTAAATGCATATTTTACACATTTTATTTTAATTATTCACCATTTTATGACTTTTAACATTATACATCTGAAAACTAAATATATTACTTAAAATTCTCTTTTCCTAAGAAAAATTTGAAAACAGGGATCTACACACAGTCCTACGTTACATTCCTTGCACTCGTAATAACTCATTTGCCGTTTCGGAGGATTTTTCCAGGAATGTGAATAAACGAAGCATCGTCGTCTCATTTTCTTATCAGTCTCTTCTGAACAAAGTTTTGGAAAACGTCTTTTAGTTAATCTTTCAGAATCAGTATCAGAATATCAGAATTTCAGAATCAATATCTGAAATATTTTGCATCATTTGTGCTATTTCATGCTCTGTTAAACATTTTCGACGCTTCGATATTGCAACGGTAAAAACAGAAAGAATTCACGTCTAACAAGATCTAATTATTTTCTAAAAACTGAATTGTAAGCCGAAATACTCAATGCTTTAGCGCATATAAATCTTCTACTTACAATAAACAACTACCACGTGCGAATAAAGTGCGATTTAAAGAGACGTCATAAATCACTCCATTCGGAAACATTTAGTTCCCCGTTTATTTATATAATCAA